ATGGACGGACCCCGAGAGGAGGGCAGGCTAGCAGAGATTGTTTGAGGAAATGGACGGACCCCGAGAGGAGGGCAGGCTAGCAGAGATTGTTTGAGGAAATGGACGGACCCCGAGAGGAGGGCAGGCTAGCAGAGATTGGAGGAGGAAATGGACGGACCCCGAGAGGAGGGCAGGCTAGCAGAGAGTCTTTAAGGAAATTGAAGAAATACCGTACCCTCTCTGATCAGCAGTTGTGTAGAGGAGAATCTCAGGTGGTGGCGGTGCTGCCGGCTCGACGAAATGGGCCAAATTCTTGGCGGGTGGGCCCGGAAATGGCCTGGGGGCATTTTGGGCCCGGCGCCACTGGGTGAACATGGAGATGTGGAGGTGTGTTTCTCTGCCTCTCTCTCTCTCGTCGACGTGGATGATGGCCTTGACGACCGGCCCGGGGAGCCCTTTACCTGGAAACTGGGACGCTAACGTGTTGGCCCGAAAAAACTGGGCAAGCATATTTCGGAGGAGTGGAAACGTCTTTTTTTAGGAAAGCAGACATGGAAGATTAATTAATGATGTTGGCGAAATAAAAAGATCGTAATTTTGATGAAACATCTTTTTCACATATGGCGCAAAAATTGATCTGAAATAAATAACCTTTGATTTACCTCAAATACCGCTTCGCGGCCTTTTGGGATCTGGCCCGGGACTGAAGGCATTTTTGCATTAAATGCTCTTCCCGAATTCATGACTATTAAATGTGAAAATCGTCTTCCCTTTTGATTAAATATAAGCTGGACTCTGCACGCCTCAAAAATGGGCGCCTGCTACTGTATTTATAACAATGGGGAACGGAAAATTTGGCAAAAAGCTTCATTTTAAGGTCATAGATGGCATTTTTCAAAACCTAAAAAGTTTATCATGATAAAAATCATGTCGAGTTCATTACGCACCCATTGACGTATCAAATTTGTTGATCTGCAAGGGTAACAAGGCGATGGACGAGTCCGAATCAGGGCAAAAATAATCATCGTCAACTGCCACTAATGAAACATTGTTTAGTAAAAAAAAGAGTAAAAACTGGAAATAAACGTTTCCGAGCGTTAAAAATTGGCAGTAAACAAATACCAAGAGTATAACAGGCTCTCATAAAAATTTCTAACCTTTTTGATGACTAATTACGAAAAAATCTGATGAATACTAATATACAGGATTTTTCAGCTGTAAAAATGTGTTACAACGAAGTTGGCTACCCAGCGGCGAGTCCGATAGCTAATAGATTGCAGACAGAGGTGTAACCAGGAAAAAAAATTTCGGGGGCTGGAAAAATTTTTTGTAACGAAATTGATGCTTTAACGGAATAACAGCACCACAGGCGAAAAATTTTGGAAAAATAGGTTGCATATCATTAAAAATAGTCTTAAAAAGCTTAATCAATAGCGCCGCAGGCCGAAAAATTTTTAAGAAAGAAAAAGCATAAGGGGGAAGAACAATTTCGGGGGGGGGGGGAGCCCGGGGCCTACATTACGCTACGCCCCCTGATTGCAGATATCGTTGAGAGTCTTCAATTCCCAAAATGGCGCGAAGGCACCTTCGAACCTGGAGAGGAAAACAGTAAAAAAATTACTTACGCTTTACAAATCAATGTTTTAGCACAGGATAGCGTTGTCGAATTTGACAACTTTGCAATCCTTTCTTGTTTCGCTGGTCTGACAGGAATACATAAATAAAGCGTGAATAATAGCGCATCATAAATGTTATAAAAACGTTAAGCAAATCTTGGGTTAATTTATTAATTTGAAATCTCTGTATCGATATAATTTTTCGACAATAGCACCCCGTTACACCCAAAATACTCATTCACACTTTTTTCGGGTTTTTGAAAAAATGTGTTACAACAAACTACATTATCTAGCGGTGAGTCGCATGAATAATGCCACTTCATTTGGCAATGGAAATTTTCCAGATGGTACCGCGCCGCGGAACTCAACGCGGAGAGCCCTTGATCGTCGTAAAAGTCACGTAATCAGTAACGCAATCGAACGGCTGACGAGCGCGTTGCGTGTCGCGGGGACGGTGGAATCCGTTGCAAATCCATAGTCAACAAAATCCACAGTTATGCCTTGCCAGTCCCTTTAAAAATCGGAAATGGAAAAAGGAGAAAAAGTCCGATGTTTTCGAAAATCAAGAATCTTAAAAAATAACAGGATTTTTCAGCTTTAAAAAATGTGTTACAACGAACTTGGCTAGCCAGCGGCGAGTCGGAAAACTAATATTTGTTTTAGCTCTGCTCGTATTCGTCAATTCTGGCATTGCGTGAAAACTACGGTTCAGAAAAAAACAAAGTTAAGTTTTTCAAATGAATGTTTTAGCGCAGCGTAACATTGCCGATTTTGACAACACAATCTTCTCAAATCCGTCATGGTCAGTCTCAATTCAAGCCTGAATAATATAGCATTATAAATGTTGTAACGGCGCCAGGAAAATCTTGTGCTTAACTTATTAATTTAGAAACTTTTTATCGATATATTTTTTGGATCGTACTACCACCTGAAAACTGAAAATACCATTTACACCATTTTTTGGTGCTGGAAAAAAGGTGTTACAACAAACTTCACAGCCTATCGGTGAGTCGCATGCATAATGCCGATGTGAAATGGTTGGAAATTTTTAGTTCTTACCGCGCCACGATACGCAACGCGGAGAGCCCTTGATCCTCGTAAAAGTCACGTAATCAGTAACGCAATCGCACGGATTACGAGCGCGTTGCGTGTCGCGGGCGGTGGATTCCGTCGACAATCCATCGTCAACAAAATCCACAGTTATGCTTTGCCAGTCCCTTTAAAAATCGGACATGGAAAAGGAGAAAAAGTCCGATGTTTTCGAAAATTACGAATCTTTTAGCATGTGGGGGTGGACATCCGGCGGCCGGGGTGGATTACGGTAATCCGGATTTCCGAGTCTCGGAAAATATCGGGGGTGGAATCCGGATGGATTAGGTGGAGAACTGACTTTTATGATTCCATCGAAAATCAAGCAATTGGCGCGAGATTCCTTAGGAAATTCGGAACCCCAGAGGAAGGCAGGCTAGCAGAGATTGTTTGAGGAAATGGACGGACCCCGAGAGGAGGGCAGGCTAGCAGAGATTGTTTGAGGAAATGGACGGACCCCGAGAGGAGGGCAGGCTAGCAGAGATTGTTTGAGGAAATGGACGGACCCCGAGAGGAGGGCAGGCTAGCAGAGATTGTTTGAGGAAATGGACGGACCCCGAGAGGAGGGCAGGCTAGCAGAGATTGTTTGAGGAAATGGACGGACCCCGAGAGGAGGGCAGGCTAGCAGAGATTGTTTGAGAAAATGGACGGACCCCGAGAGGAGGGCAGGCTAACAGAGATCATTTGTGGAAGCCATGCCAGTTCTCCTTTTGAAGAATCCACAAAAACAGAAAAATACAGAATGGGAAAATCAAAAATTCCGCGCTTTCCCCCTGCGGCCAGCATGAAAAATTCCACGTTTTTTTGTATGCCTCTGGTTTCCAGAACGTTTCGGTGAGACCGGCTTATTGATCTTTGAGCGGGAGGTTCTCTTGCTTATTAAGGAAGCAGATCCGGGTTCAGCATTGCGTAGTGTATTCAGTTATTGGACCGGCTTCTCGGCGAATCTTACAATTTATACACACAAATTCGGATTGTGGAAAAATCAGAAAAAGATGTCTTCCTTCTGTTTGCCCTCGTAGTAGAGGTTGGCACGTTGGGAGACGAAGATCTAGAATTGGTGATTTTTCTAAATAAAAACGGGCAATTTGAAAAATCAAATTGAGGCAACCTTTTTAGGATCTGATGGAACCCCGCGATTCTCGAGACTCTCGTCCACCTCGTAGTAGTCTTGGCGCCGGATGCGCTGGAAAAGCCATTTTGCGCACGAATTTCCAACTTATCGTTGCTAACCAGCCGGAAACTACTCTGCTCTTCGCATATGACTGGATTAAATCAGAAAAAACTTAGGGAGCCCCGCTTTTCTGTGAAACATTTGTCTCCAACATAATTGCTCCATCAAGAATTTATCAACAAGAATTTTAATTATCTTTTAGCCAGGTATTTTGATATTTTTAAAGGCAACAGAAAAAATATTAGCGGCGCTTTTTAATAATGAAGTAAACGTACCGCTGACGAATTTACTGCCAACAATAGACAAGCCAGAATATAGACTGAAGGAAGAAAGCTCTGAAATGAATTATTGCTTAATGCTATTCTTCTTTCTAAATTCTTAATAAAATGATTGTTTAAAAATGTGAGTAAACACAATTTTGGAACTTAGAAGAATAAAGATTTCACAGCTAACCCGACTAACGAAAATCCGGCTGCCGGTGCTGAGCGGATATGGAAAACACATTTTTTTGTGAAAATTGGAAAACGGGATGAACGTAAAACTCACCAATGAGCAATTAGTGACCATTTTTTAGCCCAGTAGAGGTATGGCTGAGCTGGAAATCGATTACGGCGGAATTTCGCTCAAAGCGGAACCTGAAAGAACCCAGAACGATGGCCTCATCAAAATCGGGGGAACCGGTTCGCCGCTCCCGTACACAAACAAATGCACCGGAAATATAAATCGGATGTGCAGAGTTTTTGCTTTTAACTAATCCACAAAATTACACAATTTAGATAGCTTACTAGTCCAAAATTTACGAGTTTCCCGAAAGGAAGGCTCGGGTCAATTCTTATCCTTAAAATTTGGTATGTTCCGTAGAACTGACCAGAAAGATTGGCCCGGCAGCTAAGCTGGGGTAGTGGGCCAGGTGGAGGGCGAGTCGCGACAAAGGAAACGATCGCCTGGGAGCCTTAATTCTACCGTCGTTATGGGGTATGCTAGCAGTGAGCATTGGGGCATCAAAAACATCTGAATGGCAGCTGGGCAGGCTAGCGAAGACTCTTTGAGAAGAACAAGGGCCAATGCTCGCATTTTTAGCGCAAATCGTTTGGATCCAAGGTTTATTCCCTTCCAAGCGTTGCATGTTCGGCTCCATTTTACATAATCGTCCAGCTGGCCTGAAAACCACGGTAGGACAGCAGATAGTCACTGTAGAAGAACAGCGTCATCGAGTTGTTCGTTGAGGTGACAGGGCTAGGGATTGTCGAGCCGGAGAACCTGAAAATCCCGAATCTTTACATGCATTTTTGGACAAAGGAAGGACGGTATTTTTTAGCGAAATATATCGTATTTCATAGACGACTACGCCCCTAGCCGATTACCAAGCTTCGTCGCCGCAATACGGCCGATTTTTGTGAAACCTGTTTTTTCTTGTGTCTGATCAAATTATAATCGATTACGCTACGAAAGCCCTGCCTTAGCGATAAAATATTACGCAAGTAAATCAGGTGTTTTATTGATTACGCTGCTGAATTTTATTAGGCTAAATAATCAATGAAGCGAATTAGCGCTCCGAATCCCCGGATTATCTGGAAAAATTGAATACGCCATCAAATTTGTTTTCTAATCGTTATCGCTTATTTATTCAATCACTTACCAAATTGATGTTTTAACGATTATGGTACTAAATTTGACTAGATTAAAAATAATTTAACGGAAAATGGCTCCTTGAATCCACCGATTTATTTGACAAAAACGCGATTAAATATCTTTATTAAGAAACCGGTTACGCAATGAAAATTCTGTTGCGTAATGGATTACGCTGTCAAAATCCAAACTCGGAGAAAGAGCGATTATGTGATGAAATTGGTGTTTTTTTGTCAATTTCTACCATCATAACAGCCGATTACGCGATTGAATCAACGATTACGCGATCATATTTTTTCGCAGCGTTCGAGTACGCCACCAAAAGAGATACGAGATAATTTTCTTTAGATAAATTATTGATTACGCCATCAAATTTTTCCGGGTTAGGCGATTACGCAATGGAATTAAAGGGACTGTGACAGTAGCCAGTTTTCTAATCAAAAATTCCCTCACTTTCCAAGCAACGGAGCCGTCCGGCCGGGTCCATCGTACACGGCCAAATAATCGCAACAGGTTTCCGTCCAAAAATCGAGGAACGAGAGGTAGATCTGGAAAGGTAAGTGCAACTTGTGTCGCAACGAGATCGTCCACAACGGTAATATTTTCAAAGAGCTACTTGCATGAAACATGTTTTTCAAAAATTTTTAGCATAAATTTTCGGTCTTTGGTGTACTGTCAAGGGATTAGGGACGGTAAGGTTAGGGTAATCTGCTATCGGTTTGCCGAAACATCATTTTGTCGAAATATCATTAATCGGAATTTCAATTGTCGAAACTTCAATTTGCGGAATTTTTTGCGAATGATATCTCGACAAAATAATGTTTCTAAAAAATTAAAAATAGGCGAGGATGCCTCTGGATATCGTTGGCAGTCGCTTATATGCATTTGCTAGGCCTGCGGCGCGCATCGCGCGCGCAGATTAGCCGCCCTGAGGGGATATAATCAATTACGCGATATAACGACAAGCGTACGCGTTGCGTGCTGCGCCGCGTATGGAGAGGATCCATAACCAAAAAAGCAGGGAAAAAATTCTTGAAGGGGACCGGTAAAGCAAGAATCCCCATCTGTTTGCTATTTAATCCGCTGATGACCGCAGTTTGGAGACCGGGAGATCAAAATCGAGGGAAATAACATTATTACTCTGGCAGTCGGAAAAGGTGTTTCACCAAAACTGCTCGCGAAGTGTTTTGCGAATCGGATATTCGGGCACAACAATGAGTCGGACCATGTTTTTACCGCCTATTGCAATTCCCGCCTGGTTGTTACAGTTACTATTTTTGCGAACCGGACCGAATTCCTGATGTATTTCCGATTAGAGGCTCCCTAAAAGTCGCAATGCATGAATTTTCACGCTTTCTGCGGCAGCCCCTCGAAGGCTTTTTGATAATCCACAGTTTGGATGGCGCTTAAGCAGTTTGTCGAGTTCCTTTTTGAAAAACGTGTGAAAGCTGCCGAATATCAGGTCAAAATTTGGGATTGCGAAAATCGGTGCAAGGAGCCGGAAGCTTTCAATCGTACCGACCTACAGGGTGTCCCATAAAAAAGCACCCCTCCGGCATTTCGCCATATTACATTCGATCGGTCCCAAATTTGGACCAGAGGTGTATCAGACCCTAAATAACCACAATCCTGAACTATAGCCCGATGGCTACACTGGTTCTCGAGTTATCGCCAAAATACTGTTTTCTATGCGATTCTTAACAGTTTTTCCGGCTATCTTTTTGGACTTTGCATCGATTTGCATCGACTTCCGGCTGCGAATCCCTAACTTCGTTTAATATCGGGGGTGACTTTCGGTTACAAAAATTGTTGAAATCAACGGTTATTTAATGAATTTGTGTCAGGAAAAAATTTCTAGTGGTAAAGAAGGCCTGCCGCTTCATTTTCACTTCATATTCGAAGGGCCGATTCCGACGAAAACCTTGTGAAAAACGGCTAATAAAGTTTATTTTTGCTGTATCTCGAAAATTACTGTCGCTAGCGGGCTATAACTCAGGATTGTGGTTATTTAGGACCTGATACACCTCTGGTCCAATTTTGGGACAGATCGGATGCAATGTGGCGAAATGCGGGAGGGGTGCTTTTTTATGGGACACCCTGTACATAGATCGTAAAAGTCGGCGGGGAAACAGCTGCGAACCGCGACGAAAGCTTGGATCTTGGCAATTCCTTCTCATTTATTAGTGCACCCCGAAGGGCGCTTTCCAAAAATTTGTCGCACGCCGTCCACCGGTGGGCCGACGGCTCGGAATTCTCGGGATCCCGGGATTACCAGGATTCCAGAATGGGGTTACCGATCGTAGTGATCGATCGACCCCTATTGGGTGCGGACCATTCTGACCGAACGATCCGCCCCCGAAACCGAGGCGGCCAACAATGAGCCAGCCAACGGTCAAACCTAAGCCTAAGCCTAAGCCGGATCAACGGCACGCCGAAGACCCGAGAGAATTCCTACCCCTGGCAGACATCGGCGCCTATCTATGCATATTTAGTGGGCCAGGTACGCGTCTTTTGATTCGGGGCGCGGAATTGTTACATCCGGGGCGACAGACAAGTGCCTTGAATGCCGGATCAGCACGGTTTTTGCGAGTTCGAAAGCCCTAAAACGAAAGAAGTCGTCGGGAGTTGTTTATCGTTATGATTTTGGACGGTTTAATCGAAGGCCCCAATTACTGCAAGACCTTTGGCGTCTCAAAAACCCTATTATTTTTGTAGTACCATTTATGATAGATGTGCACGCAACACGCAACACGTACGCCGGGCCGCTCGTCGCGTAGTGGATTAGGACTATCGACCGAGTATTGGGCGCGTCGCGTGTCACGGCTGCGACAAAATCCATACAGCTACCATAGCCAGAAAATGTAAGCTTACTCCGTTGCGCACCCCTTTAGATTCAGGCATGGTTTGAAGACAGATTTTTCTGTGTATAATGCCGATGAGCTGCTGCGCGGGCGAGCGCGTTGCGATTCGTTTCATTAATGTTTTCGGAAAACGTGTTTCATCAACATGCCCGGAAAGCTCTTTTTAGAATGATGCAATTGAAGGATCCCCTTGAAGGACTCATTTTGCACCCCGAAGGGCGCTTTCCAAAAATTTATTCGCACGCTGGCCAGCTAATTTGGTGCCAACGGCTCGGAATTCTCAGGGTTACCCGGGATTGCCAGGATTCCCACTGGGGCGACCGATCATTGTGACCGGACACCCCTACTCGAACCGTTCTGATTTGAACGATTCGGCCGCCAAAGTGGAGGGTTTCCCGCCCACAACGGCCGCGGTGCGGCGGACAGAACAGATCCATCCGCACCGTACTTTGGATCAAGCAGCTGTATTGCCGCAGGCTCCAGAGAATTCCCAGAAATAGCAGAAATCGGCGCGTATCTATGCTCAAATAGTGGGCCAGGTGCGCGACTTTCGCTAGCAGCACAGAATTTGTACTTCCGGGCATGTCTTTGCCATGCCTTTTAAAGGAACAGGGATGGACCGTGTAGCTCAGTCTACAGTGACAATTGGCAAAAAGCCAACCGGTTACTCTATGAAAAAAAACTGGGGGGAAAAGTGGGCCCAGGCAGGAGGTAGCGGAGCAGCTTGCCGCCTGCTTTCTACGCCTTCTATGCTAATCAATAATGGCCGCTCTGATCCCTTTCATATAACGCATACCTTGGTGCCGGGTATCGTCTTAATATAGTACATCTGCTCGGCATCGTACGGATAGTTGTTGGGGTAGTTTGGACTTTGCAGCATCCCGGACGAGCCGCTGGCCGCAATATCGGGAAGATAGGGTCTAAAAGACGTAGTTTCAGCCCAAAAAAGCATCAATTAAGAAAAGTATAATTTTTTTCGAGAGTTTTTCGTTAACTTTAATTGAAAGAATTGAAGACTAATTTAATTTAAAGCTATAGCAAATTCTACCGGAGCGTATAATTGGCGTGCCAGCCGGTGCGCTGCACCGAGTTGTCGGTGATGAACTGCAGCGTCATCACGTTGCTGGTAGTCTGGAAAATTGAAGGACTTCAAGAAAAAAGACAATTCATGACACTAAAAGCTAAAAATCAGATTATTTCTATTAAATCGGCACTGCTAAAAAAATAGAAAGCGTCCAAAATGATCGAAATCGGCAATTTTTTACATGGTTTGATTAAGTAGAGCTTGCAACCGCTTATCGATCAGGCGATTTCCCAATTGGCCCAATAAAAACTTGAAAGATACATTTTTTATACCCAGTCCGAAAACCGCAAAATTTATACCTGAAAATTCGGCTTCGTGCTGTTGTCGGTGATGTTGGTCGGGTCGTAGGTAAGGCTAAAATTTTAGGTTCTTTTGCATTATCGGGGGGCGGGGACGGAACTTTTTTTGTTGTAGTCTAGAAAAGTCTACTAGCTTAATAGGAAGTGTTTTTATAGCGCTGTCAGCAAAAGATAGCATTTTCTTATCTAGAAAACCATCTAAAAACGCGAAAATATTTTTTACAAAATTTTGAATTTTTTAAAAAATCCGCAATTTTTGATCGAAAAATCGATATTTTTGTCATTTTTGAATACAAAATTTATGATTTTTTTAGGTTTAGTAGTAAAAATCCGTTTAGAATCAGTTCCGCCATCCACATCGGCAAAAAGTTGGTATTAATTAATGGCTAATTAATTTAAGTTTATAATGCCTACTAAAGCAATACTATCGAATGAAGGTTAAAAAAAAATTAATGGAAAATCAATTTTTCTCAAATGCCACAAATTTTGAAACATACTTTGCGATGACGAGCGCGTCTTCTCCCGGGTACCACCCATCGTACAGCACCAAATAGTCGTATCTCCTGCAAAAAAGGTGATACCGATTTTTGAATGATAGATTTTTATTAATCATTTTTTATTACGTAATAATAAACAATAAAAATACCCATCACAAAAACTTATGGCTCAACATTCCACGCATCGAAGGCCAAGTCGACGAATTGGCTCTGGTTGGCGACAATGTGCTGGATGCAATTCTCGTTGTTCGAGTAGGTATCCGGGAAATTTGGGGACTGAACGGTGCCTCGGACGCCGTAGACGGCTGTCAGGTTGCTGGTATCGCATCTGAAATTTGAACTGCATCGGTCTTTATTCCAGTAAATAGTGTCCCCATAATAGGCAATGGTAGCACTTTGAAACATAACATCAAAAATGCTCGGATCTAGCAGCGATTTAGGGAGATGGCAGGCTAACAGAGATTCTTTGGGAAATTCAGATCCCGAGAGGACTGCCCCTTACTTTTTTAGACATGGTCATTTTTCGCCTGTGCAAATATAGCACACCAATCGAGAAAGTATTACTGCCATCATCTAGCCTTCGCCCCGGCAAAAATTCGAAACAGAATTTTGCAAAAAAACCTGGAGACCGCGAAAGGAAGCGACCGCTAGCAGAGATTGTTTGAGGGAATGGACGGACCCCGAGAGGAGGGCAGGCTAGCAGAGATTGGAGGAGGAAATGGACGGACCCCGAGAGGAGGGCAGGCTAGAAGAGATTGGAGGAGGAAATGCGAAACAACCGCCCCTACGACCCAAAAAAAAATGTTTCTGAATAATCCTGGTGCAGCTGATGCATGGATAAATCAATGTGCCATCATGGGTTGTCGAACTTTGATGATGATCCATTTGACCATGATCCTCCCCAAGGATCTCGGCTAATTTTCCCTGACTGGAACCGTGTTTGAAGTCAAACTCACGTAGCAATTTTCTGTGAGCAGATGAAAGGCTGGGAATTCTGGCAGGGTACGTTGAAATACCCGCTCTGGGCCCCTGAGCGGATGGCGCCGCATCCGCCTTGGTTAGCCAGCGGCTCCCCTAAAAAGATCTATTTGATTGAATCAATGCCATATAATTACGTCAAAAAAAATGGATACCTGGAGCCCACATTTCGTAGAGATTAAAGGAATAGGTGTAGTCCACAAATTTCCACGTCGATCCATCGAGATAAAGGCCACCCCAGGTGGCGTAGAGTGGATTCGGGGATAGCCCTGAAATTAAAATTTGACTATTAGAAATAGCTTTGTAAATTTTTGTTTCTGCCAAGAGTTGCTTCTTCTCCTTCCCGCTGACTGCCGTGGTTCGCCGTCGAAATTAAAATATCAATGCTCATAAAATCGTCGATTTAAATGGAACGGACACGGCAAACCGATATGTAGCAAGGGGGAAGTTTAGAAATGGCGTGTTTCATTAAAAACCGTCGTTTTTTGAAGGCAATCCTTGCGAGTGCGAGCAATTCATCGCTAATGAACGAAGAATAAGCTAAACGGTCGTTTTTCAAGTCAATTTTTTAGCATAAGCAAAAGACCAATAGATAAATCTAAACATCCGCGGTAGGTTCTGTTATTGCAGCCCGTATAGAGCTGCGTTCCAAAATTTACGAGTTTCCGTAGACTCGGTTTGATTTCAAACCTCAAACTTGTGGGGGTTCCGTAGAACTGAAAAGAAAGAGTCGGCCCGAGCTTATGTGGGGATAGTGGGCCAGATGGGGAGCGAGTGGTCGGTCAAAAACGGAAAGGGCCGTTTCATTGGCATTCGTTACCAGACTGCTGGCGGCTAGCAGAGACGATTAGACAAGTACAAAATAAGCTCAACAAAAGGGTTTTTTGCGCCTTTTATCGTAATTTGCATGTTATCCCGACGTCGTGCCCCTATGCGCAACATCTCTAGTACAAAATCGCAATCGATAAAAAAATTATTTTTGTGCAGCTCAAAAGAGCTGCGTTCCAAAATTTAAGAGTTTCCTACGGAAAACTCGGTTTGATTTCTAACCTCAAACTTGTGGGGGTTCCGTAGAACTGAAAGGAAAGAGTCGGCCCGAGCTTATGTGGGGATAGTGGGCCAGATGGGGAGCGAGTGGTCGGTCAAAAACGGAAAGGGCCGTTTCATTGGCATTGGCCTTACCAGACTGCTGGCGGCTAGCAGAGACGATTAGACAAGTACAAAATAAGCTCAACAAAAGGGTTTTTTGCGCCTTTTATCGTAATTTGCATGTTATCCCGACGTCGTGCCCCTATGCGCAACATCTCTAGTACAAAATCGCAATCGATAAAAAAAAATTTTTGTGCGGCTCAAAAGACCTGCGTTCCAAAATTTAAGAGTTTCCTACGGAAAACTCGGTTTGATTTCTAACCTCAAACTTGTGGGGGTTCCGTAGAACTGCAGCGAAAGAGCCGGCCCGACCTTATGTGGGGACAGTGGGCCAGGTGGGGGGCGAGTGGCCGTACAGGACGGGAAAGGGTGCTTTCACTGGAATAGGCTATCCCGGGCCGCTCAGAAACTAGCAGAGGCCATTGGAGATCCGAATCGGTCGCTAATGGACAGGCTAACAGAGATTTTTTTGGGAAAATACAAGCTACGCTGCCCAGCTGACGTGTTCGTGCTTTCCAGGGTCTTACAACAAGTTAACAAAAAAAGCATTTTAGCCTCTAGAGCTGCAGCAGCGGGGCAGTCTAGCAGAGACGCTTTGGGAACGCAAGACTCACCAATTTGAAAGTTCAGCGTGCTTCGATTGTAAGCGCCCGCAAGCTGACCGCCGACCGTCGCACAGTAATTGATCGCGTTCAGCCAGCTCTAAAAGTTTTATCCGAAAGTACATGTAATCATTTAAAGTTTCTAGGCGCGGGAAACCTAGATAAAATTAACGTACCCTCTGTACACTCCCGGAATACATATAACACAGCTGCCCATACTGGACCCAGCCATCCGGACAGGGTTTTTGCACGTTTTGGGCGTTAACTGAAAATTCTCTATTAGTAGTAATGAATTTAGCTAGGGCTAAGCATTTAATTTTTACCTCAGTCCAACATATAAAACGAAGCCTGGCTCTTGTATTTTAGTAAGTTTGCAAGCTTTTGGTTGCTGGAAAGTGATAAAAATTCATGAAACGAAAAATTATAGAAGTTACAATATTTCTCATATTCTTAAATTTCTATATACGTCTGTTGTAAGATTTTTAGTATTTTATTTTTGGCTGCTGGACTGTGTAAAAACAGAAAACTACAATTTATAAAACTTTGCGATATTGCTCATTGCGATTGAAGCAACTAACCGATCGTGACAATTCCGATGACCGCCAACCAGCGAAACATCGTTTTCGTTCCAAATCGGCCAAAAATCGCCAAAAAAATCACAGCCGCCAGAGGGGAGGAATTTTCACGGCTTCTTATCAACTCCTGCAGCGCATCTTGCCAGGGCCCATTTCCCGCATTTTAATGGGCGATTTCATTTTAATCGCGGGCCTTCCAGGGGTGGGGCCGTTGGATGGGAAGGGACGAGTAAAGAATGCTACGGAAAAATGTTGGCAACGAAACGAACCGGTAAAACAAGTAGTGGATATGCAAAAAAGGGCCCCAAAAAAGCACACGCCAGATTACAGTATATAATATTATTTCTCTCTCTCTCTCTCTCTCTCTCTCTCACTCTCTCTCTCTCTATTTCGCACTCCCTCCCTCTCTCTCCCTCTCTCTCTCTCTCTCTCGCACTCCCTCCCTCTCTCTCGCTCTCTCTCTCACTCTCTCTATGCTTCTCTCTCGCACTCGTTCATTCCGGCAAATCGATGAATTGCTTGCGCAAGTGGTCGCATATTTATTGCGACAGCAATTCAGCAGCTGCCTCCTTTTGGTAGTTAGGAGGCCGTTCACGTGAGACCGCTCAAGACCCCAGCCAGAAACCTTTGTTTTTCTTACCGTTTCGTTACTTTAATGCAGCCGGATAGGTACAGAAACACCGATACTTAATAACCAAACTCGCTTTTATAAGCTGAGAGGCTTTTTGTACATATTTTGTCTTACCATCTAATTAATGTTCAGTAGTGCTTAAATCCCACAATTTATGCGTAAACTTTACTAAGACTTCAATTGTTATTAGCGAAGTAAATTTTTCAAATCAGGATATTGATTGGGTAGCAAGGGCATTGGCCTTGCACAAGGGATACCAATTTCTTGCCGAAGAAAATGGCCCCCGAGAAGCTCACGTGGATGGCAGATAGGGGCATCAAAGACCCTGCCTTGCAAGGGATAACGCTTTTGAGACAGGTTATCTGGGTTTTTTTTTTGAATATTTTGTTATATAATTTTTAATTTTAATCGAGTCTTAAGCTTAAAAACATATGATAGTTGGAGCGCCTTGTAGCAAAAAAAAGAGAAAACCCTTTGGGACTGGATTATCGGCAGACAGGGGAGCAAGCCTCCCATGAAATTCTAAATAATTTTTATAACCTTTTACAAAGTTTATCCATATAAAAGTTCATCAAAAGTTCCAAAATTTTTCAAAATCTGGTAATTCTTGGTCACAATGTGTGAACCATGACCAAAACGGACATAATTTTCGAATTTTCCAAAATGATTAAAAACTTTACGGCACTTTCTAGCTTTTAAAAACTACTAAAGCGATGTGAAAATGTGTTATCAATTTTATAGGAGCACAAACAAAAATCGCTCCCCTGCCCTGCTAAAGTCCGGTACCACCCTTTTCTTAATGGTAAACTTTTCATACAAAATTTTTTACGTTGTTAATTCTGCAAAACGCTCTTGCGAAAGCCAAATCGATCAATTTCTAAAGCCAACGAATCGGCATCCATTTTGTTGCAGCAGAAATTTGCCGGTCCGCGGGAAGCGATAAGCTATTGAACCGCAATTCCATCTGTTCGGCATTAAATTAATTTATACTATCTTTCTTCCTTTTTACGCTTTATTAACGATATTATCCGTAAAAAGTAGTATAGACCAAATTCAGCGATGAGCGCCCACTCCGGCTCGGAGTGCACCGATGCCGAATATACGGTAGAAATCGATTCTTGGCAAATTCTGAGATTTTAGGACCGCAAAGTCGACCAGCACTTCGAGATCTACGTCCGGAAACTGGAGGTACGACATTACTGGGTCGGAAAAATTAAGTATGATTTAGTGGGTGGCCAACCACCCGGATTCTACCGCGCAGATGAAGGCTATGTGTGAGGCGACGGCGCGGAAGGTCAGATGATACTTTTGAAGACTTTTTTAGCTCTAACAACAACAATAACACGCATATAAAACAAAGGGAGGCCACTGAACGTTTTTAATCACAAAAACAGGTTTAAGCAAGTCTATGCACCGTAAAAAGGTTTTTGAATCTTTTGCGACGCTCTATCGAAGGGCATGTTTTAGAAAAACCGAAAATTAGTTTTCCTGGTATATTTATGGCGTTTGATCGGTCGAAATTTGTAAACTAGGCTTTCAGACCCTGCTGGATGACTGCTCGCGTCTGCCGGACGCGACTCGGGCCACCCAACGCGCCAACGAACTGCTCGCTCAATCGACGGTAGCGCTTTAAATTCTTTTTAAATTCATTATAGTTATAGTTGTAATTATGATCTGATCATTCATTAAGCGCTATTCAGACTGGGGCGCCTCCCGTTGATCCGGTGAGCCAGGCAGGCGGACGAAACGCGGCAGGCGCCCACGGGTCTCCTGCGCAAGGCTCGGGCCACATCGCCGCAGCTCCGGCGCCCTCCGCTCAATACGCGGCGTCGGCGCAAGGGTTCGGTAATGCCACTCCGTCCCAGCCACGCGATGCTCTGCCGAAGCCGCCGGCTAGACCGGGTGCGGGCCCCGGTTACAACCCAGACCTTCCGGAAGAAGTTTGTCCCAAATATAACACCTAACGCACATTCTAGGGGGAAATGGACTTGCAGCAGCTGTTCAACATCGGCGACCAGGGCACGACACAGTTCAACCAGCCACTCCTCGACGACCTGTGCCAACAGATTGGGGACCGGAAGGTAGGGCGAGATAATTTTCGAACAACAGTTTGGCAATTGGCACAATGGCAAATCCCGTTTTCGACTCCGAGTGCCATTTCCGCAGGTAGCCATCATCTCGACGGCCGGCAAATTCCGCCAGGGCAAGACG